ACTTTTGTTTGACAGTGGAAATTGGATTAACTCTGTTCTTATTTCTACAGTGTGAAATAGACTCCGAAGAATCTTTTGGATCTTGTCAAAGCTATTGTTATGATAAGCAGGTACAAATTATTTTAATTTATGGGTGGAATATTAGATTGTTATTAAAACATAATGAAAGGCCATTTTTTGCATTTAAAAAATTATTGTGGAAAATAAAATCAAAGTAAAAGCCAGAACAATTATTGCACAGAATCTTCAATTTAATTCTGTCCTCTCATTCCTTATCCATTTATAATATATTCCATTGTCTTTCAACCACAAAATTAGAATGGAAAGAACAGCTTGCAGAGTTACTTTAACTAAGCCACTCCAAACACTGAAATTTTATAATTTGTTTTATTTGAGAAATGATTAAAGTGTATAATAAACTAGGTACAAATAATTTTTTTAAATTATTTTTGTTTTCAAAAGGAACTGTCCTTTTCCCAGAGGGGAAGGAGATTTGAAAAGACTATCCCTTTCTGAGTTGCTTTAAATCCAGCAAGCATATGAATTTGATTTAGCACCAGTTAGAAGAGGGACTAGAGACGTCTCTTTGCTGAATTGAAGTGTTCCCCCTCCCCGCCGCCTCCTTTATCTTTTCTTCTTATTTGATTCTCCTCTAGAATTTTATGATTTTTAAATATTAAACAAAGATTCTGATGTGCAGCTGCTGGCTATTTGAATGCACTTGGGTTTTGCATTTAAATTGTTCAACGTGCTTACCAAGCTCCAGCATGTTATTCCTGACTGACGTGCCAGCTAAAACCACTGCTTTCTGATCTTAAAGCAGTTATTTTTGACTACCAAGGTCGGCACATTAGGAAAATCATTTGTACAGAAGTAAACATTTTAACCAGATGCATCCCTGGTGTACTTCTATTTGCTTTGATGGAGGTAAGCCAGGGATATATATATGGCCTTTTGATTTCAGTTTGAGCAAACATGCTTAAGAAGAGAGCTCTAAAACGAAACAAGGAAGCTGCAAATGAGGGGGTTTTTTTTAAACCATGCTGGTTCTCACTCCAGAGAAATGGAGTACAAATGGGTCAACCCATCTTGAAGCACATGCCCCTCCCCTGATATGTCACAAGACTAAGGTGAACATCCACAAATAAATATAAGTCAGGTGAGACTGTTATTGAATAGAGAGGCTACTTAACATTCTTTATCCACTTTGTATTCTCGTTTCCTGTGGCTCACCAACAGCGAAAGCATGATTTTCTTAAAGGAGTTGGCTCAAGGAGGAGAGTATATATACCACTTACTCCAAAAATTTTGGCCCCTTTTGAATTTCCCCACCATTTAAACTCCTCCTATTCAAGGAGCAGAGCCTGGCTCAGAATATGGAGGACATATTTTCTGTTTGCTTCCATGGTGTTTAGATATTTTGTTCAACAACTGGTTTCCTCTCATGCCAATTTCCTAATTCAGGAGAAATCACTAAGATTGCCATGCAAATAAAAATAATAAGCAAATCTCAGAAGACATGTTCAAACTGCATCTTTCAGAGGGTTTAGCTGTGCATCAGGCACTGTGCCTGTAAGTCATGATTAACATATAATGATGGTCTAGAAAATACTTAGTCCTGTCTCAGTACAGAGGACTAGAATAGATGACTTATCAAGGTCCTTTCCAATCCTACATTTCTATGATATCCTCCAAGAAGGATAAACACTGAGGTATCTGTTAGAATTAATAGCAGCTACAGTAGACAAATGACAAGTGTCAATGAGTTCCACTGGGGCTTTGAGTGCAGGGAAGATGCGGTACACAAACATAAAATAAAACCTCTCTTACAACAAGAGACTGAAAGTATAATGTATTGCTAGAAGGAAAAGTTCAGACTCTCAAATCCAGGCCCACAACATTCAGGTGCTAGGTATAACAGGGGGAAAAAAGCATTGCCTTCATGGACAATTTTCTGGCAGATCTGCTAAAGCTGAATATAAAAGATGATCCCTTTAATTTACTGAAGTATTATCCTATAGCGATGTGTAAGGAGGCAGGTGGTAGAGGTTCCTGGAGGGACATTATAATGACCTTGATATTTTCAAAGTCTCTGTTAATTTCTCTATTTGTGTTTCTAAATTTGTTTTCTATTTCAAAGGTTCGCCAGCTCTTTCACACTTCTTTGTTAATTTAGCTTCAGGGACTTCGTGCAGAGCTTTGATGTCCTGGTATTTTTCTCTGTCACACACCAGGGTGTGGGTGGTGTGATCTAGTGGTGTGAACAGGAGTCTGGCCTTGTGGCCGAAGCAGAATCAGAAGGCAGAACCAGAAGAGTGGTCAGGGGACAAGCCAACAATCAGAGTCAGGAGTCTAGAGGAAGGTAGGGATTAGGGCTGGAGCAGGAGAAGGCATGGGCTGGAGCAAGAGCTGTACAAGAAGCAGGACTGACGCTGCCTTGGGTGTGGAACGCATTGATCAAACACTGTGCTGCTGTTACTACAAGGTTAAATGGACCTTCTATCCAATCAGAGAGCACAGTTTACTTCGCTCAGCTGAGCTCAGCGAGTTGGTATGAGACCAAGCCCAGAGTCAGCTGAGCGCACGGCTGGCCTTACAGGTGGGAGACCACAAAGAGCACCATGGTCAGGGGGGTGCTATGGTTCAGAAGCAAGGAGAGGGCGGGCCTAGGATGCGAGGCCGTGGAAGGGAGCTCGGGATAATGGGAGCGGGAGGAGACAGCAGGGTCTAGAGGCGATTTGTGGGGGAACTCGGGGAGTCAGCGGGCACCAAAATACAAGTTTCCCAGGCCACCATTTTCCCTAAGGTCAGCCCTGGCTGAGGTCCTGACACAAACACCCGAAAGTATTTTTGTTCTGTCAGATTAGTATCTTGCTCAGTCAATAGAATTGAGGGTTGCCAACCATCCCGGACCGGCCGGGAGTCTACTGTAATCAGTCTCGAACTCCCAGTGGCTATTGAAAACAATCCAGGAGTTTTTAATAGACCACTAAAAGTCTGGTTGGTGGGGCAGAGGGGCTAAGGCAGGCTCCCTAACTGCCCTGGCTCCGTACAGCTCCTGGAAGTGGCCAGCACTTCCAGCTCTTAGGAGCAGGGTAGGCCAGGGGTCTCTGTGTGCTGCCCCAAGCGCTGACTCTGCAGCTCCCATTGGCTGGGAACATGGCAAATGGGAGTTGTGGTTGCAGTGCCTGCAGGCAGCGGCCTCGCACGGAACCACCTGGCCCCTCCGCCTAGGAGCTGGACATGCCAGCCGCTTCCAGGAGCTTCCCGAGGTAAGCGATGCCCAGCTGGAGCCTGCACCCTCTACCCCCTCCAGCACCCCAATACCCTGCCCCAGGTCGGAACTCCCTCCTGCACCCAAACTCCCTCCCAGAGCCTGCACCACAACCCCCTGCTCCATCCCTGAGCCCCCTCCTGCACTCTGAACCCCTCTGCCTCAGCCTGGAGCCTCTTCCTGCACCCCAATCCCCTCATCCCCAACCCCACCCCAGAGCCCCTTCCTGCACCCCAAACCCCTCATCCTGGGCCCCATCCCAGAGCTTACTCCCCCCAGCCAGAGCCCTCACTCAGTCCTGCACCCCAATCCCCTGCCCCTGCCCGGTGAAAGTGAGTGAGTGGGTGGGAGGGCAAGAGACAGAGGGAGGGGGGGATGGAGGGAGCAGGGGTGTGGCTTCAGAGAAGGGGCAGGGCAGGGGCATGGCCTCAGGAAGGGGAGGGCAGGTGGTGTGGCAAGGGTGTTCAGGTATGTGCGATTAGAAAGTTGACAACCCTAACAGAGTTTGAATCTTGTACTCTCTTAGCCATGGGTTTAACTCTTACATTGTGTATCAAGTTTGTGCTGAAGCTGAGATAAATTAGTTTTACCTGAAAATATACATATATCTTCAACAGATATTACGGGTAAAATCATGGCCCCATAGAAGTCAATGGTGAAATTCCTATCAACTTCAACAGAGCTAGGATTTCACCCTCTGTGTGTGTCAACCCAGACATCTCTGGGTCTGGCCATATCAGAGGGAATTGGCTCATCTAATACTTCAAGATCTCCAGAGTAAATCAATTGATCAAGTACTAATGACTCTTAGACTGCCATCTATGGCCTAGATTCAGGAAAGCATTGAAGGATATGCTTAAATTCATCCTTGTTCGGGAAATTCATGATCTAGCCCTGTGCAAGTAAAGAATTTTGGGATTCATCAGGGTGACAAGTGGGAAATACTATTAGTTATTATTTCATTCTGTAAAAAAATGCCAGGCTTTGTAGTTTAGGTGCAAAAATGTTAAAGTTACTCATAAGCTCAGGCTTATGCATTACTGTTGTGTTGCAAGTTAAAATAGTGCCAAAAACAAATCAAAGGAAAAAACCCATAAGGGACACTATCAAGATAAACATTTTAAAGATGTGCTTACCTGTCACAAATAAAATGCTATACGTTATTAAAAGCAGAATTTTTTAAAATCTAATGACCTGATTTTCAAAGGTGTGAAGCACTGGCAGCTCCCCTGGACTTCACCTTTGAAAGTCAGGAGATAAATTTACATTTTCACCATTTACATTGATAAGTTTACATTTTGCATTTCATTCATTTTAGACAGTAACACTTTAGACTGCTCAGTTATTTTTTTCTGTTTCTTGTGGGCTCACAGAATGATCATGTGTCTGGCTTCAGAACATACAGGAAATGAAAAACAAAACAAATTTTCACTGATTAGAAACAAATACATCTATTCATATTTAGGTCTTGTACATTAGTTTTTAAACAAAACCAATTGTGGCCAATGGTCCTGAACTGGCAAAGCACTGAAGCGTGTACTTAAACTCTAGTCACATGTCTGAAGTTAAGCATATGCTTAGGTTCTTTTCTGAACTGGGGTCCAAAGTGTCTACACTATTCCCATCTATCACTTTAAAGAGTGTAATATGAAATAATATAATAAGGTGTTGAGTAACATCTGCTAAATCTAGGAAATGTCATGCATTTTAATTTTTACATATATACCTGCTAGCTGTACAATGCCATGCCTTGCAACATCGTAGTATGGATGATTAATGCTTAGTTCAGTGTCTTCACATGTTGCTGGTGTGAAGGAGGTCTTTTGCTTCTCCATTACTGCATGTTCTGCCTCATCTTTCTGTAATTCTAAAGCAGAAAGCAAGAATTTATAAAATCAACTACTAAAAAACCTTCTTTTATCTTGCATATAATATTGCGAAATTGAGATCCACGCTCCATCCTGCCAATGATGACAGCTTTCTTCACTCACTCATTTATTACATTTTCAAAGAAGCACGTTCATATTTTCTCCTATGCTGGGCTGCATACATGGGAGGAGCTCCCATGAAAATCTGCAGCAAAGCTCTCTCATTGCCCTCCTTTAAGTTCTTCTTGGCTACAATGCCCAAAAAAACTTGACAATGGTTAGGCAGTTGTTATGCTGTGACCACTGCTTGTCATAACAACCTATGTTGTCTCACTGTTTCCTTACGCTTCCCCGTCTGTCTGTCATACCTTGTTTTATACTTCGACCGTAAGCTCTTTGAGACAGAAAAATCACTGTCTGAAACCTTAAATGTACTGGGGGACACAGTGGGTTAGACAGCCTAAGAAAAGCACTAAGGGCCTGATGCAAAACGCAGTGAACTCAATAGGAGTCTTTCCATTTACTTGAGTGGACACTGGATTGGACTCTCAAAGGCCCAAACTACCTTTCACTGAAATTTTCAATGAAAGGTAGATATTGCCCTTTACTGTACATGGACATGGCATTTCACCAAAAACAAGTGTGATACTTAAACAGAGAAGATCCTAAGCGTGCACAGGCCTTGGTGTGGGAAAACAAATACCTAGATCAAACACATTGTGAGCTGAATGCAAAAGTCACAGCCATTAGTATTTCAATACTGGTCAAAAGAATGATTCTGAGAAATATACTAACATGCAAGTAACTTGATAGCTTAAATTAAGAAAGGCTGATATTTAAAGAGACACATTATTTTCCTCCCAAAGCATATCGCTCACTGTATGTCACCTGTTTCTTTATCATACAAGTTATATCAAGAAGAGGAGGTTACTTGCCTGTAACTGGAGGTTCTTTGAGATGCGTGGTCCCTATCTGTATTCTACTGAGGGTTACACATGCAAACCATGCATCCAGAGTTGGAGAATTTGAAAGTAGTGTCTGTTGGTTTGTGCATGCACCCTTGTTCGCCTTATGCTTCTGTCCGAGGCAATAAAGGGCGGGGTGGACAGACCGTGTCTTCAGTTCCTTCTCTATTCTGAATTGACCAATCTGCAGCAGAGGGGAATGTGGGCAGGAAGTGGAATACAGATAGAGACCACACCTCTTAAAGAACCTCCTGTTACAGGTAAGTTACCTCCTTTTCTTCTTTGAGTGCTATTCAAGTGACTATTCCACTGAGGGTGACTGACAACCAGTACCTAAGTTGGAAAAGGGTGCGAGGATAAGGATGGAATGGTTGTGTAGAGAACTGCCATGTCAAAGGAGGCGTCCGCTGCCGAATCCTGCACTTAGGTGTAGTGTGCTGCAAAAGGTGTGCACTGAACTCTGCAAGACTGCTATATATACGTCTACAAGTGCAATGTCCTGAAGGGAGGCTGTGGTTGAAGGCTGAGCTTGCGAGGAGTGAGCCCGCACCCCTGTAGGAGGTAGGCCTGATAGTTGGTAGCAGAGTTTAAAGCAACCAGAAATCCATTTGGAATTCTTTGGGTGGAGCTGGCTTGCCCCTTGAGTCTCTCTGCTTCTGCCACAAGTAGTCAGGGGGACTTCCTGTTTGGTTTTGCTCTCTGTAGGTAGAGAGCAAGAGCTCGCCATACGTCAAGGGAATGGAGTCGACATTCCTCTGGAGAAGCATGTGGTTTCGGAAGGAAAACAGGTAAGTAGATGGTTTGATTGATGTGAAACTGGGAGACCATCTTTGGGACAAATTTGAGGTGTAGACGTAGGGAGACTTAATCCTTGTGGAACACCATGAAAGGCAGGTCTGTCATCAAAGCCTTGAGCTCGCCGACCCATCTCACAGAAGTAATAGCAACCAGGAAGGCAACATTCATAGAAAGGAGGGACATGGAGCATAAAGCTAACAACTCAAAGGATGGTGTTGTTAGCACAGAAACTAGATTCAGGTCCCACTGGAGTGCGATCATTTGGACAGGTGGAAAGGTTCTGATGAGGCCTTTCCAAAACCTTGCGGTAAGCAGATGCATGACAGAGTAACCTTCCACTGGAGGGTTGAACACGCTAACTGCCACCAGGTGGACTCTCAAAGAACGGAGGGCGAGACTTGATGACTTTAAGGAGAGACTGTAGTCTAGGAGGAGGGGATCCCCGCTGATTCTGGTAAGACTCCTTTGTATTGAGCCCAAGATGAGAAGTGTTTCCACTTGGCTTGGTAACATCGCCTAGTGGAATCTTTCCTGCTTCTGGAAAGAATGTTTTGTACAGCCGAAAAACACGTCCATGGGTGGTGGGTGGAGCCCCCCTTTGGGGAGGCTAGCCCTGCCTCTGCAGCCCCGAGGCCCCCTACCCTCCACACGGCTGGAGCCGAGTGTCGTGCCAAAGGGGGGCTCGGATACACTCAATGAAACCACACCAGGTGTATAAGTATAACCAGTTTTATTGCCAAAGTATAATAAGCTTCCCAGCCTTCACACATTACTAAATACGTGCTTTCCAGCAACCAAGCAGGCAAGCAAGAACCAATGCTTACGCCTGTTCTGCTACGGACAGTCCCGGACCCTCCAGCCTTGTCCTTGAGGGCTCGTAGCAGGCGCTGCTCCAGCATGGGGTGGCACCCACAAGGCCAAGGTCCACAGGTGAGACTGTTCGTCTAAAGCAATTCTCATAGCCGTTTTTATCATCGGCTCTTTCTCAGGGGGTGTATACATCCACAAGCAGGCTCTGGCAGGAAACACTATTGCTTTCTATTCCCACACTTAACACTCTTGGGCCCTGCTTATCTCCTCACTTGTTTATCCAGTTGGAGTGGCTGCAAGCCAGCCCAGCCGATCAAAGCCGGTTTACTACTAGCTCTACCTGGACCATCCTGTAATAACAGGCCACGGTAACTTGCGGTCAGCCCCAACACCGAGACACCCCCCGCAGCCAGAGGAGCCTTGAGTGCCCCACACCTTCTCTCTGGAGTCCAAGGAGATTACTGATGAATGCGGGAAGCTGAATAGCACATACCACCTCCTCAGCCGCCCCGGAACCTACATGGGGCATAATAAATCAAAAACTTCCCCCCAAAACCCTAAAATCGGGGGTCCGGCAGCCAAGGCAGCACCAGAGGAGGCACAGCCTCCCTGGCCTATTATACCAGCCACCAATGAACATGTCTGTACTAAATGTAAGCGGGGGAATAGTCCCGCTATTGTGGGGAACTTTCCTGGCTTCTGCACTACCCCGGTGAAGTGGGCTAGCGAAAGGATCTGAGTCCTCGCTCCCACTTCCTTTACCCAGTGGCCTCCCTGCCCTTGAGGACTCTCCTTCCACTCTCCTGTCTGGCAGAGTCCTCGCAACTCCAACAAGGCTGGGCCCAGGATTCCTGGGGGGCTCGACCCCCAACCCTGCTGTGGTCACCTAGGACAGGGGCTAGGGTGTCCCCACTCCGGGGTACTCTCTCTGTCCTGGGCACTTCTCTGACCCATTGACCACTACATACAATTTAAAGCAAATGCAAGTTATTTAATCAACAATTAATTTTAAAAAGAAGAAGGAAAAATGGGAAAGGTGAAAGGAAACACATCACCCCGCTGTGTGGCAGGGAACGTCACAAACCGTGTCTCTGGAATGTCAGGGCAGTTCACAGGCTGTTCCTTGTAAGTCCCAGGCCTCCTTCTCAGGCCCTGGCTGTGCTGCGGGGATGCTTTGGGTCGGACACTTGCTCTGGTGGTGGCCACACGCTCTCAGGCTCTAAGTGGTAGGACCCTTCTTCCCAGTGTCGCCCCCGCCCTGTCGGGGTTACGATCCAAGCCTGGCCTGCAGAGTCTCTTGGCTGAGGTGTCAACCTGCGCTGGGCCCCCAGGGTCCCCCTCGCTCTCCCCAGCTGCTCACCGCACCCAGCTCCGCACTGCTCCAGCCCCAGCTCCACCATTCTGTCTGCACTGCTGCTGCTGCTCTGCCTCCAGCTCCCTGGGCTGCTTCTCTGGCCCCTCTGGCTCTGGTTGCTGCAGCTCTGCTCCCAGGACAGGTCTGCTCTGCAGGCTGCTTCTGTGACTCTGCTCCCAGCACTGACCTGCTTCGTGGGCTGCTCTTCTGGCCCCTCTGGCTCTGGTTGCTGCAGCTCTGCTCCCGGGGCAAGTCTGCTCTCTCTGGGCTGCTTTTCTGGTCCCTCTGGACCTGGCTCAGCTCGGGCCCCTGCTTTCTCCTTAGCTTGGCCCCACTCTGTCTGACCCAGGCAAATCCAGCTCACACGGAGTACGGGACCTCCCTGGGCTCCTGACTCCCTGATTAGCCTGCACACCCTGTCATTCAGGCTGACCTGGAGCATTGGCCTCTCTCCATTGTTCCTGAGGACTATCAGTCTCAGGGTCCTGGTTTCGCATAGACCCTTCCCCTTTTAGTACTGGGAGCTAGCCAACCAGAACACACCCACTGAATGTTAGTAAGGGGGCAACAGTCCCCTTACATAAAGTAGAGGCCCATCTAAATACCACACTCTGAGGTGTAGCACACATGGATTGGGATGTCAGATCTAGCCATTGTACTGGGTCAACTGATCGGTGAATTGGGGATGGGAATCAGTGGGCAGAATGACATGTGGAGGAGATTGGGAAACCAGAACTGTTTAGGCCAGCAAGGGGCAATCAAATGACTGTCTCTCTGTCTCATCAGATCAAGGCAGGTGCGGTAATGGAGGGAAGGCATAAATGAGTTGGTCTGACAAGGAAAGTAGGAGAGTATCGCTCTAAAAGTGGTGGCTGAGGCATCCCCTGTAGCAGTATGTGGTCCATTTGCTGTTCATCTGCAGAACAAATAGATCTCTGGTCAGGGTCCTCCACCAGGTGAAAATGTTGTGTATTATGGAATCGTGAAATTCCCACTAGTGGTTGATCTCAAAAATGTCTGCAGGGTGAGTCTGCAAGTTCATTTTGTGTCCCAGGGAGATAGGCTGTGGACAAGACGATCTGGTGATTGATGTACCAATTCCAGAGACTGACCGCTTCGCCGCACAGAGCCTTCAATCTCATTCCCCCATTTGTTGATCTAGAAGACAGGGATGGTGTTGTCTGATATAATGAGAATGTGGTGGGAGTGAATGAATGGAAGAAAGGATTGGCAGGCCTTTTGTACTGGTTGGAGTTCTAGGGTATTTATGTGCATGCTGGATTCTCGGGTACACCATGTGCCATGTGTCATGTGATCGTCCATGTAGGCTTTACAGCCTACTAGAGATGTGTCAGTGATGACTGTCGTCTGAAAACGAGGGAAGGAAGGAAACCCCCATTCACACCTGATGTGGGTTTGTCCACCAATGGAGGGATGACAGTACCTTATTCGGGATTGTCAACATTATAGGTCCATGGAGTGATGGTTGGGTGAGCAGACAGACTGGAGTCAGGTCTGAAGGCAGCAAAGGTGCAGTCATGTGAAGGGAGTCATGTAAGTACAAGAAGCCATGTGGCGGGGGGGGGGGGGGCAAGGAGGGATGGGCAAGTCCTGGTGGGTACATGAGGATTGTTCCTGATGCAAGCTATAATATCGCTCATTGTCTTAAATCTGTCTGTTGTAAGTAAGCTCAAGCTGTGACAGAGTTTTTGGTAACCCCAAAGAAGTACAGAGATTGTGTGGGCTCAAGGATATATTTCTCGATGTTGACACTAACTCTGACAGAATAGAGGAGGTTGAGTAGCATCGAAGTCGACACTTGTGCTTCTTGCCTGGATCTGGCAGCCAGGAGCCAATTGCTGAGATATGGAAACATGAGGCTGTAACACCTGATGTGGGCCACTACGCCAGAGAATATTTTGGTGAAGACTCTGGGAGCAGTGTCTATCCCAAAGGGGAGCACTCTGTACTGGAAATTATGGGTGCCCACTGTGAATTGTCTAGGGTCATGGTGATTATCAATGTGAAAGTAAGTAGCTTTCATATCGAGAGCCGTAAACCACTTCCCATTTTCTCCCAGCATGATCAGATGAAATTTGAGCTTGCAGATGAAATGATTGAGGTGCCGAAGATTGAGGATTAGTTTCCACCTGCCTTTCTTCTTGGGTATCCAGAAGTAAATTGAGGAAAATCACGTTCCCTGATATTCCGGAGGAATGGGTTCTACTGATCCCCTTTGTAAAAAGGAGTTCATCTCTTGGGCAAGAATACTGTAGTGAAAGTGGGCCCCAAAGGGGATGGGGAGGAGGGTTTTGGAGGAGGTAGCATGAAAAACTCAATCGTATAGCCATTCTGGATGACATTCAACACCCAGTTATTATTGCTCATAAGGTCTTTGTGGGTACAACTGAGGAGATCTATGCCATCATGTGGACAAATGTTGGTGGAATTTTCTCTTCAGGTTGTGAGTGCAGATGTCCAATGAGCAAAGAGTAGCCATGGATTCTTTCAGTGTATGTAGCAACTCATCTGTCTTCTGGTTAAAAAGATGGGATTTGTTGAAGGGAAGGTCTTCATTTCTGGAGCTCCCTAGGTAAACAAGAAGAGTGGAACCAGGACTCTTGACACATGACTCTCTATAGTCATTGCTGTGGAGAAGCGTCCGCTGTATCTACCGCAGATTGAAGGGCAAACTTCTTGAATTTGCTGTAATCACGGAAATCATATTTGACTAACAATGCCTGATAGTTTGCGATTCTCAGTGGCAGGCTGGAAAATGAGAATACTTTACAACCCAGAAGATCTAAGCACTTCCTTTCTTTATCTGTAGATCAAGGGTGTTGTTGTTTAGATCTTTCTGTAGTAGCCTGGACTACAAGGGAATTTGGGGGTGGAGGTGAGAAAAATGTGGCGTCTGTGGCTAGAACATAGCATTTTTTCACTCCTTTGGGAGTAACTGTGCATGTGGCTGGGGTGTGCCATACCGTTCTGGCAGCTTCCAGTATGGCTTTGCTAATCAGCAATGCTATTCTCACTGGCGAAGGATATCCAGACGCTTGTGCTGGGAATCTTGGATCTCTTCTACAGGGATCTGGAGTTTCCCCTAGACTCTCCTTAACAGCTCCTGGAACTGTCTGAATTGATCTGGTGGAGAATTGATCTGGCTGATGCAGCCACCGTGTTGTCAGGAGAGGAAGAGAGGAGCCCTGCTAGTACTGGCAGAACCACTGGGATCAGGCTAAAAAGTTCTTATTCCACCATCGGGTCTGGATACCTTGTGGACGGATCCGCCCTGCCCTTTATCACCTCGGATGGAAGCACAAGGTGAGCCAGGGCATGTGCGCGGACCAACAGACATTACTTTCAAATTCTCCAACTCTGGATGCATGGTGTTCATGGTGTGCCCCTCAGTGGAATACAATAGGGACCATCACTCTAAGAGGAACATTATTAACTTCACTTTTTGGGTGTTTCAACAACAACATTTTGCATTCTCAACACCTATGTATTTCATATAACTTGACCTCTACCCGAGATACATATGGGAAAAGAGAGTATATAAGGTATTGATTCCAATCAGATTTATGTGCAAATAACTAATAACTGTGGGGGAAATACTCTTTCTAAATAATTTCTTTGGTTTGTTTTCCATTGCACAATTTCCAATGTCTTTCAGATTATCCTTTAAACAGGAATATATTAGGGTTGTGGAGGGCTTTTTGGTCTCATTTTGCCTTTTAACATGGCTTTGTAACAAAAATGCATTTAAAAAACATGAAAAATGATTACACTCATGGCTGGGCCTGGGATTTGTACAGGTATGCATGCGTGTGTGGTTTTCTTTAAATATCTTTACATTCTCCCTGAACTCTCACAATAAAAAAATCCATAGAAAATAAAATAGTGGCACTTCTAGTCTTAGAAAAAAGATGTAGCTATTAAAATAACCTATTTGTGACCTCCACACAAATGTAAAGATAAAATTCATAACATTATCTACAAATTTATACTTTCCTACCTTTTAAAAATGATGAACTACAAAAGCAAAAATATACCACTCTGAACAGCTGGATGCAGTGGCTGTAAGGACAGAACACTTATGCCCTGAGAGCTGGTTGGGAAGTAATGGATAATAAAAACGCAACCCAGACATGATTTTTTTTTTTATAAAATGCAACCAACCAACCAACAAAAAAAAACCAACTTTGAATCATATTAAAAATCAGAACAAGGACAATTGTGTTCAGTTTTGCTTTTGAATTTTAAGTTTCTGCACAGTATAATCAACCTTAGTAAGCAAACAAAAAACAATAAAGCAGGGCAGGGATAGAAAGAGTTACACATTAACATCATGGGGTAGAACAGGGGGAATTGTTTAGTAAACAAATGTGCTTACGAACAGTGAGTTCACCAGAATCAACTGATATACAAAAGGCTGTATTGACCTAAATATACAGTATGCTTTTTAACATGAAAGACCCAGAAATTTAAACCAAAGTTTTTTAAACACACAGCCACTCTTAAGCTTATTTTGTACTGTATATAGGCAATCTTAAGTGTAAAAATTTATAATTAACCCTGGCTGGTTTAGACTCACATGGTAAAGAACTGCAGATGTAAAGCAAACGTGTATTCATTTGTACTGTAGTTACCTGCAGTGATTAAAGAGGCCCCACTATAAATCATGAACTTTTTTTTGAGACTAGCTACCTTGAACTGCTTGAAATAATTCCTTATTAACCATTCTTTAATTTTTGGCAAAGGTAGGAGGAAGGATGTCTCATAGTAAAAAATATTCATTATTTCAAACTGAGAACAACAGAACTATTGTGTTTTGCCTATATATGATAGGAGTTCATCACCCTGCTTCAGTTCCTACTGGCAGTTACTACTGTTAACCCTGGCTATGGGGGAAAAGGAAAGGCCTGATCCAAAGCCTACTGAGATCAATGGGATTCTAATTTCCATTGACTTAACTGGATTTTGGCTCAGTCCCCAGGACTAAAATGGGAGCCAGCTGCTGTGGAAGTACATGATGACTGGGAAATCAAAGTGATAATATGGGACAGAGCAGGAAAGATAGAGTAAAATAGAGATTGTGAAAGGTTCCTCCTCTGAGGTTCAGTCTGGCATCCTCAAAAGTCAGGTTTTTGGGGTATTTTAAACACTGATTTTTCAAAATGATGAGCCCTGTAAAACCAGGGTCATATTGCTCTATTCTTCTAACATATTCGAAGATAACATGCAATACTGCAATCTCTATGCACATTCAATACTTGTCTCTTTGGAGTAATGACTCCCATTTGTGCCACAATATGTGATGATGGTGATATTCCGATAGCCTAGAATTGCACTGGGAACATATACCAATAATTCATAAAAGCTGCATGTATTAAACTAACCTTCAACCCCAATGGCTTTAATAGGGTACACAGAAGTACAGTGGCTATAACTCATATTGGATTGCTCAAAATATTATTACGAAATGCCTGTGAAATTTCTCCCTTAATGAAGACGCTCTATTAAATCATCTGTAATTCTACAAAGATACTATTTGAAGTGCAATAAAAAAATGTTTACCTATTTCGGCTAATTCCTCAAAATCAATTTCAGACATGTTTTCTGTTAGGAACAAGCCTAATTGTTGCTGACTGATATTTGCTGGATTCGACGCTTCTCGGTTCTCAATAAACCCTAGAAAAACATAAACAGTTACCATCACTGTGAAAAAGCCTTCAGCTTTTATTTACATTGTCTACGTCTAAAGAAAACAACCCTATTACCCAATCATAATCCTGTAATTGGAACCAAATCATTTTTATTTGGTAGAAATGTTGTTACAATAAAGAGGATTATAACAGGTTTTGATTTAGCAGTCAAGGTAATGCAAGGTGTAGTAACAGGATTTTCAGCAAAGACCATCTATATAATTATTTATTTTGGATTTTTTCCTTCTTCAAAATACATATTTAATATATATTGTGACTACAGCCATCAGAATTAAGGAATTGTCAGTATTCTCTTCTTGGGCTACATAATTCCTTTTATTCATCTCACAGCTATCTATCATTTCCAGGAGGAAGTAAAGTCTATACCCATTCACAGTTGCCATCTTTATTTTGCTCTGCTACAGCAATAACTCTAATTTGACAAAATTTATTTCATATCAAACAAAATCATGAAAACTTCAGGTAGACATAACATTAAATACTTAAACTACACAGCACCTCAGATATTTTACTGAGGCACAGAGATATTAAGTGACTCACCCAAGGTCAACACAACTACTCTGTGTCAGGAACTGGGAATGGGATTTGGAAGTCCTGTCTCCCAAATTCCTACTCCATTAACTACAATACTCTCTTAAATTGAAAATCTGGACCCAAATTGGCAGGGAGGCCAGAAGAAGATCAAGATCTTCCTTTGTTTTCATTTTTAAAAATAACATCATGATTCTGTAAGTTGTTTTCTTTATAGCATTAAAAAGAACACCAGTAAATTTACGGCTGGGCTGAAGAAAAAGTGCAGGAGTACGCTCAAACCTTCCCCCAAGCCAGGGGTGGCCAACCTGTGGCTCTGGAGTCACATGCGGCTCTTCAGAAGTTAATATGCAGCTCCTTGTATAGGCATCGACTCCGGGGCTGGAGCTACAGGTGCCAACTTTCCAATGTGCCGGGGGTGCTCACTACTCAACCCCTGGCTCTGCCACAGGCCCTGACCCCACTCCACCTCTTCCTGCCCCCTTCCCTGAGCCTACCATGCCCTCACTCCTCTCCCTCCCCCCAGAGCCTCCTGCATCCCATGAAATAGCTGATCAGGAGGGCGGGGGAGGCACTGATCAGCCAAGCTGCCTGTGGCTGGGAGCTGGGGGGAGAGTGAAAGAGGGGGTGGATGGGCCGGAGCAGATGTGGGGCTGCTGACTTATTACTGTGGCTCTTTGGCAATGTACATTGGTAAATTCTGGCTCCTTCTCAGGCTCAGGTTGGCCATCCCTGCCCCAAGATTAAACATCAGCAATGCTATAATATGGAAGATCATCTTCAGCATTGGTGTGTAAACAAGCACACAAACCGTTTAGATTTCCTAAACAATTCCCATGCTCCTTACTGCCACATCATGTAGCTCCTACAGCCCAAAAAGGTTGTGGGGGTTTTTCTTCCCTTTTTAAGAATACACTAGAAATAGTTTTTTCAAAAATCCCTAGAGAACTAAATAGAGAAATAAATTGGTTAGTCTCTAAGGTGCCACAAGTACTCCTTTTCTTTTTGCGAATACAGACTAACACGGCTGTTACTCTGAAACCTAGAGAACTGAGATATTACTAGTATTCCCAGTATGAAGTGGAGGCTCATTTCAGCAAAGCACTTAAGCACGTGCTTATCTTTAAGCACAAGTTATTCCTATTTTGAACACATGCTTTGCTGAATTAGGACCCACATCGTTAGAATGGTCATACATAAAATACTAAATGGTACATTTGCCATATTCAAAAGCCCTTCTTATGACTAATCTTTGGACAGACGTGTGGAATGTTAGAGTTCTCACCTTCTTCCTTTGGATGCCTTAGCTATTTTTGTTACATATATTTGATATCTATGAAAACATAACCACTGCTGGCCAAAGTCAGCTATGGCGTACCTCCACAGCAGTTAATGCAGTTGTACTGCTTTCAGCAGGGCTGAATCTGGGCCCACCTCTTCAATTATGTTCATTAAACGAGCAAGGTAGAACAGGACACACAAATTCACTGCATATCCAACAGAGATGATTATAAAAGGGTTCCCAAAGAGTGTTAAACTAGGGCTGTTGAAATGCTGAATTTCCATTCCATGAAAAATTCTGACATTTCAGAGGAAAACATTTTTCTAAATCATAATATGTCAAAATTTTGAGATTTTCTGTTAAACAATATTTTTAAAAATTATTTTAGGTGAATCAAGAGGTTTTGTTTCAGTTTTGAAATATCTTGTTTTTTCATTTTATTTTTACATTATTTTAAATTAGGGTTTAATAATTTTTTTAAAAATATAAAATAAAATAATGTAAAATAATTGGTGTTTGGCATTCTAAACAGCAACTGGAAACTGGTAATTGACATTCACATTGATAATTCATTATGGTAATTGACTTGGTAATTGTTTTTTGGTTTTGTAACTTGTATTCTAATTGATTTGGAAATTGGTACTTAGTTTGCTCATTGGTAATTGGTCTTCCAACTGGTGTTGTATGATTGGTATTCGGTTTAGTAAAAACTAAAATATATAAACATATAAATTTTTAAAGTTATGAAATGAAAAATCATTCTGTTTCAATAAAATTGAATGCTTTTACCTTTTCACAACATTTCAATTTTGATAAAACAGACTTTTTACAATAGAAAAATGTTCCATCATAAATTTTTTGACCATCCCTAAATTAAACATGCACTGTTTATAGCCTCATACACAACTGTGTGTCAGGACCCAATTCAGACAAGTACTTAAGCATTTAAGTGATTTGCTGAATCAGCATGTTAATCATATTGAGCTGTTTGTAACTATATAGCTAATTATTACTTTGTTAAATTCCACCAATTTATCTTTCACTATCACTTAAACTCTGGGCTGGGGTGGACAAACTACGGCCAATGGGAGCTGCAGATGGGGCAGCACACAGCAGAGTCGCCTAGCTGAGCCTCTGCGTAGGAGCTGGAGGGGGGGACATGCCGCTGTTTCTGGGAGTTCTTTGAGGTAAGCGCCGCCTGGAGCCTGCACCCCTAAGCCAGCCCCCGCACCCCAAACCCCTGCCCAAGCCCTGATCCCCCTTCCACCCTCCAAAGCCCTTGGTCCCAGCCCGGAGCACCCTCCTGCACCCCAAACCCCTAATCCCCGGCCCCACCCCAGAGCCTGAACCCCCAACCAGAGCCCTCACCCCCCCGTCCCCAAGCCCCAACCCTCTGCCCCAGCCCTGATCCCCTCCCGCCCTCCAAACCCCTCAGTTCTAGCCTGGAGCACCCTCCTACACCCCAACCCAATTATCCCCAGCCCCACCCCAGAGCCCACACCCCCAGCCAGACCCTGTACCCCAACACCAATTCCGTGAGCATTCATGGCCCGCCATACAATTTCTATACCCAGATGTGGCCCTCGGGCCAAAAAGTTTGCCCACCCCTGCTCTGGGCTGTCAGAATGTCCAACTCAACAGCTAATCTTAAGGACAAATAAAGCAACTGAGTGGCCATTAGCAGCTCTGCTCATTTTCTGAGGTCCCTCATCTCAAACAAGTTCTGCAAATCACAGCCCAATCACCCTCTCAGATATCCAGGCTGAAGAGGGGGAAGCAGTATCTCACTGCCTTCCATCCTATCTCAACCTTAAAATCAAAGTCCATATTACAGAACATAATAAACTAAGGCCCTCTTCTTGAAATTTTCTGCATGGACACAGGGAAACCACGAGTGCAGAGAAGCTGCAGGATCAGGACCAAAAAGAATTTAAGTTACAAGAATGTGAGAGTATTTTAAACTTTTGTTCTTAATTTTAAACACCACTACTAGAACCAGAAATAATAAAACTCTTAAAAACAAACAAAACTCCAGTTCCAAACTGAGGATTTTTTTTTCTCCAGCTAAAGTACTCATGAACAACAGCGTTAAAGATGAATCTACTTACAGAGCCTCTGAACACTGCTACAGTTGCATGCTATAGTATTCATAGGGGGGAGAAATGAAAACCTGAATAGAAGGAGAGGTAATATTCCATACTACAGTTACCTCCTTAAGACTCAAGTTGGGAAAACCTTCTCTTTTATATAGCTTCTTTCAGATCCTGCAGGATGGAAGAAACTTTAGTACTAATTGGGCCACTCCCAGCTTTAATAAAGTAATCTGAGCAAAAAGACTTAAACATCCCCACAAAACTGCTCAGTAAGGTCTGCTTTTTACCAAGTAACCTTACTGTATATTTGACATCAACAACTCTAGTCTTCAATGTTTTCCACACCTTTAATGTGCAAAGTTATTAGGATGCCAAAAACAATTTAGATGAAGAAAAAGGGGGTCAGGGAAGAAACTATCTGCCTGGTTTTTGGCTTATTGTTCCCTTGGGGGCTGCAATTAGAAAGTTGCTAGATAAAAGATAAATTTATTGTAGCACCCTAGGAAATTGATTTCCTCTTGACCGCAGCATTCTCAGTTCCTAAGAGATAACATAATCTGCTTAATAGCATTCTATGCCAAATATCACCATTTCTGATAAACTGCCAGACTTAACTCACTCGCTCCACCTCAAATTTGTTATGATAGAAGTTTGGAATCGTTTTACACTATACCACAATTTGTATCCCTTCACATGCAATCTTATTACTCACTGACAGCCCTAAAAGATTGTTACTTGATAAAAAATGAAAGCCGCCACACATACAGTAAGTAGTCTGATAATGAACTAGCATCTATGGATATTTCAAACAAAGGCAAGGGATCCCTCACAATGTTTGTCAATATATATATGCCGCTTTGATGCCTCATCTTTTTTATTTCTTCAGCTGTCAGATATGTTTCTTATTCAAATTTAAACAGAATGCTTTGCCTCAAATTTTTTCCTAAATTCCTGACTTTTACTAATAATTCAGAAGGGAATAATACATAAGCTGAATATTTGTTTATATGACATATGGTACAAAGGTGAACTTGAGAGGTTTCAAATATTATTTTATTA